AAACCTGGTGTAGTTTCAGCAGCCTTGCATACAAACTTTACACACGAAAGAATGCATGTCTATTCCCACATTTTGTTTATAATTATCATACAGAGTTACTGACCGGCAGCAAAAGTCTTCAAAGGACTTACAAATCATATGATTTCTAAGGCTCGTATTACTGTGCAAGTTATTCAGCTTCGTCCAAGGTTAATCCCCGAAGCAGCCAAAAAGATAAATGACAACAAAGACAAACAGGCATGGAAGATTATTGCACACAGATAATTCAGAAAGTTTTATATTAATACGCTGCAGGAATGTTCACTGAGGTCACAATTACCTTCGTTTGCTCTGATTATGATCTTTTGATCTCTGTGTTGTACAATTATGCCTCCGGGGGTACATAACTAATTGTGACAATAATTGGCATCTTTAATCATTCGTTTCTCCTTCAAGACGTTTTCATAGGCTAACTGCTAACACGATCACCAGATGACACCGTCAACAATAAGCAGATGCTAAACAGGCCAACTCCAAATGTGTTTTGTAAGTTGGCATGCTATTTACTAATAAAGGACACAGTACAAAAGAAAAGAGATTCACATGACTAGATGTGTAACACAGAAAAAATGGATACGTAGGCCTCATGTATTACTCGATGCACCAGCTGGTTGGACATACAGTGCAGTCCAGGAAGTGGAAGCAGTTTGAACGAGGGTAAAGTCAGTCTGTCCTCTTTCTGATTCATCCAGATTTTTATGTTTCAATACCAAATGGAAAGCTTTGAGACTGCCAGGATGCTTTAGCCTTCTCTCAAAATTGCAGTCTCAAGAATCTTGTGAAAATCACGCCGGTTTGTTAGAGAAGGATTTTACTAAGGTGTGTGTTTTTATTGTCTTCTTACTGATGCTGCCAATGTACAGTACACCCCAATGCTGGCACATGAACAGTGATGAAATCATCAATGTAATTTGGTCTCAAACTGTAGGGATAACAAATGTCTCTGCACTAAACCGAACAAGTCCAAATCGCAATGGGATCCAAAGAAGTGCTGCAAGAAAAGGCAACAAGGACATGTATGTTTAAAAACTTCTATTTAAAATCTACCAGTTGCAATTCAATCTGGAAAGACTCAGACGGAGAAAAAGGAACAATTAAAGATTTAATGACAGGAATGAGTAACAGTTCTTTGGAGCTCGGGCCCCGGTAGCTGATTTGAGCTGAGATTTGATGTGAACTCGATGAACCGATAACTGATGAGGGATGCTCTCCCCCGGGGCCCGACACCGATGGTGGAGGTCGGGAAAGGATGCTATCCTGGACAGCCGAAGGTTGTGGGTGGAGAAGGGGAGGTGGTGGGCTGAACGTAGCTGGGAACCGGCTGACGGCTTGGGTGTGGATCCTTTTATGCAGAGTTTGATTGATGATTGGATGATTGGACACGCCGAGTGAGGACCAGCGCTGAGGTCTGAGATGAGCATGACGCCGATGGGCGAACGGAGGGGGCGGAGTCTTCCAGCTTGAATTTTCGCTATCAGCTCCATTACGACTGCCTTTAACTGCATGACTTAACAACGCGCAACTGATTAAGAGGACTTTAAAAACATAAATATTAACACCAAATCAAAGCTCTTTTTAAACTAAAGCAATAAATTGTTAAAAAATATCATTGAAATCTTAGTGATTTGTGTCACAGGGACAGTTGTTGCTGCGGCACGAGATGCTTCCGCAACAAAGGTGGGTGATAACAAGAAGAAATTTAGAGAAAAAAAAAAACCATGAAGCCATAAGTAGCATGACAACAGAAAATGAAACATACTCTACAACAAACTGAGTTAGCTTAAGGAAATGTAATAATGTGCATCAAAGATGGAACAGTTGGTCGCTTTGAATGCTTTAAACGACATCTCACAGACGATTTTCCGCAGGAAGCTAGGTCCCATTTTAATGATGAAAACTCTTAAATGGGAATCACATTTCGGTGGGATTGCATATTTTCATCTTGAGCTGTTGCGATACAGAGGACGCCTGGACGCCTTCGCTCAAAACGATTTTCTCACAAATCTTGTGGAAAAAATAAAAGTGGAACAAAAAAAGGAATGAAATTGGAAGAATCCGTCTTATTGTAGATTTTAGTAACGTGTGTCATGCTTCGTGGTGAGGTCGGACATGAGTACAGACAGGACAGTGGTGTTGTCATGTTGGCAAAGCTGGAATTTATTGATCAAAGGCCTTACAAAAACTGAGGAGGTGGGAAAAAGCAGCTGAAGTTTAGGGAAGCCGGCAAGGAGGAAGACTGACACAGAAGACAGGATGAAGAGTAGATGAGAGGCAGGTGCGACTAATGAGAGGAATGCAGAACATTGGGGAAGAAGCAAGGCAGGGAAATGAGGGAACTGAACAGGACATAAAAGCAACTTGACAACTGAAGGTTAAGGACAAAGAAATTAAAGTGGAAGGCAGCAATAGCAAACAACCCAAAAATAAGCTAAATGCACAAACAAGAGAAAACAAGAGACACAAAGACTCGTAGATCATAACAATTAGCTTTGACACAAAGGTTCGTGATGCCTGACGTCGCACACGTAAAAACAATTTCTTGATTAATTAAATCCTTTGAGAGAGTTGACACAGGACCTGGCAAATGGTGTGAACTGCATAGTGTTGGGGAAAAGTGCTGTCACCTTATTCAATATCACTGCACAACTATGACAAAATTATAACCCTCCATTTTCATTTCATTTCAATAATGTAGCGCATGGGAAATTATTGGTGTTATTTCAAACCTTTGTCTCAGGCAAGAAGAGGAAACACTTTTACCAAGCATGCAAATGGATGTGATAAAACAAACTGAAGCAATTTTCATTTTATTAACAGGTGTAGTTTACTATGATTTTTCAAATGAGTTTCTTGACTGCAGTCATCTTGAAGTCATGCTGTTTGCAGAGCATGGGCACCAAACTCTGAGAGCCTTTTTAGGGTTGAGTAATACACGGAGTGCCTTGACTTCACTGGAGACCAAAAAAAACTGAGATTTAAATTAGACCTGAGATGCAAAACTCAAGAGCCTTATTTTGCAGCTGCATCATTACGGCTTGCTTTATTCGAGAGTCTAAATTTGACGATTCGGAAGCAGAAGGATTCTGCTGTTGAATAAAAAGTGTCAAAACCTTGAGCTGATTTAAACGCATAAAAACACAGAAAGCAGCTGCACATTAAATACCCATCACAATTTTTATCTGTCTCCAAACTGAAAACAAAGCTGGTTTACACAGTTTTATATATATCTAGTCAGACTGTTTTCTTAAACTGCTGCTGAATGGTGAATAACTCGGGAATAAAAGATTGACATGTGCTGTACAGAGTGTATTAAAGATGGATAAAAACCAGAGGCTGTGAAAACTAAGATTTTTCCAAGCTGGCACCAGATAGAGATAACGAAAATTACTAAGTTTTTGTTGCTGAATCCTGAAATAAATTATTTGATGCAGCAAAAACGTTTTAAAAATGTGTGGAAAAATATCACATTTCTCACACATTTCCCAAAAAATTTCACCATGTCCAAAGACAATAGGTTACAAAGGGTTACTAATATATCTCCCTATTAAAACTCTACAAGAAATGCTGTCACTGCGCGCGCACATCATCCCGACATTCACATTTTCTAGAACAAACATTTAATTACATAATAAACGCTCCATCTCCCTTATTATTTCATAAACCGTTTTAGAAATGCTTTTGCCACTGGAGTCCAAGAGTAAATAACCTATGAAGGAAAAAAACAAACAAACCTGAATGACAATCAGTGACTCCACTGAAACGTGAAACTAAACAAACAGCACTCTCGTCTTTGTTCTCTCCAAACTTATCAGAACACTGTAATTATAAATCAAGAACTCACTACACTCCTCTGACCCAGCTTCTTTTCCTCCCAATCCAAAGTGGAAAGACTCCCTGGAGAAAGAAGCCTGTCTGAATGAGGCCACAGTGTCCTGATGAGCCTCCTTATGAATAAAATAATCTGCCTGCATTGACCAAACATCCGCTTAATTCCACTGCTGTGGTACAAGTTGTGCTGGAAACGGAGAAAAACAAGAACATCTGAACCTTCACAAAGGAATTCTTCCAATGAGACAGTGAGTCGCTCCCAGGAGTGAGAGAATAAAGTAAAAACACGAGATGATCTCTTCTTCTCTTCCTCTACGTATGCTCTCTATGCCAGACTCCACTGCTGGAGAAAAAGCATGTCAAAGCTAGTTGAATATTTGCTGCACAACATTAAGTCAAATAAGTATTGGGAGAATATTTTCTGCTCTGATTAAATCAAAACTGAACTCTGTGAAAGGCATTGCATTTTTTTTTTTTTTAGATGAATGGGTTAAAATCCTACAGAGCAGGACGTCCATAAGACATCTTGAAATTGTCATAAAAAAGAAAAAAATACTGAATAAATTTTAGTAATACCTTTTCCATATTATTATCCCCTATCATTATATTAAATGCATTGGATGTGAGGATTATTTGCATTGCTACTGACCTCTAGTATGACTTTCATGCCAACAAGACAATACAAAAGTTATTCAAATAAAAAATATTACTAATGGGTTAAATACATATTCTCCTGCCATATCATGTACACCACATATTTGGAAGTGAGAATGTCAGCATATATAATGCTAACCATGTTGTACACTTATGCATATTGTAATAATGTGTGAAACATAAGAGTACAAGAAGTACGCTGTAATGTAATATGGAAGCCAGGTAAGGAAGAAAAATCACCTGTCCTCCAGTTGGCCCCTAGACACACTGAGAAACTCTCATTAAATATTAACGCCGACGACAAAGAGCCCTTAATTCCTTACAAGAGCTGCGTTTAACATGATACGTTACAGACATGGTTTCAAAATAAACTCATGGCTGATCTCATTGACTTTGTCCCTCGGACGTCTTTATGAGCATAAGTGTAAACACGGTTTCCATCAACAGGGATATTTTGGAAAAAATGAGGCCTGACTCACCTTCTCCGCCAATGGGAGGTCAGGTTTCCATAAACTTTAAAGAGAGCTGCCGGTCCCCTGCAGGAGATCACCTGTGGAGATAAAAACACGGGGTCAGTCCTTCTAACGAAAGCTCACGGAAACGAAAGCGCAACTAATTGCTCTAAATGAAAATAAAAATGGAAATCAGCTTAACCTGTGACAAAAAAAAAAAAGCTTAGACTCAGTCAAAGATACTAAAAGATTTGCTTCCGTTTCAACTATCACAACAAGAGAAGATTAGTCGACCCTGACACTGAAGGCAAGAGGAATAGCAAATCAGATCAGCTTCCTCAGTTTTCATAAAGCTGCACAGCAACGTACCCGCCTGTTTAGCATAATTGATTTCACCAGGAGGATACTTTTAATTAGGATGGGATCTGTTTAAATATTGTGGTTTCATCGGGTTTTCAATGCTTCAGCTGCAGCAGGCAACACGGGAAGACAAAAAGCTTTTTGCAGCAAGTTATTAAATAAACCATGGGAAAATCATTACCTTTCTTTCATATGTTTTTTTATACAGATTTTAATTTAAACTAATAAGGACATAAGTGAGGAGAGTATAATCCTGGGAGAAATAAAGTAATGAATACCGCAGAAGTTTATACGTACACAGACATGCACAAAAATTGCTTATTCAGTGGCTTGCAAAAGCACTTATAATCACTTTTTCAGACTTTGGAACAGCAAACTTTCATTTCGTTTCATTACGGTTTTATGTGGGGAACAATCAAAAGTTTCAAGAGCCTTGGTTGTGATGATGGACATTTATGTTTTTCAGAGAGACTCAATTTTAGCTTTTATTTCAGCTGATTTAAGTCCACAGTTTTCTTCCTTTATTTTACAAAAATTGGTCAAGTAATTCCCAAAGTTAAACACCTAAAATTAATATACCTCAAAACTCTGAAATATGAAAAACTGTTTTTGATTACTATGAAAAAAAAATGCTGTTACATCTTATACATGTGAAAGAGATTGTTTATTCAGTAGTTTCTCTTTTGCTACCAAACGTAATTTATGAATCTGCTCCCTTCATTTACAACTTCTTTGTTTTTCGTCAGATAAACATTCATAAATTTGATAAACTGCATCTCTAAACAGCAAAATGAAATGAGGTCTAAGGATAAAAAAAAAAAAAACCTGCTGCATCTTGTTTTGTGTAGAAGGAGATGGAGCACTAATATAACAAATGGCATCATGGGAAGAGAACATTATGTGAATGTTTTGAAGCATCAGCTTGCTAGCATGTTAAAGCCAGGCACAAATTAGTTTTCTAAATGGACAAGGAGTATGTACATACCACAAAATTGCTGTCTCAATCCAAGTAACTCTCCTGGCTGTGCTTTTATATTAAAAAAAAACCAATAATGAAGCCAGAACCAGAATACATGCCTCAGTTTATCAGAAGACAACCTCTCTTCTGTAATCTGGTTTCCACTAGGACATAATATGTCTTTATTACTGAACAAACAGTCTGTAGAGCTGAGGACACGCATCTTACAAACATGTCATGCAGCAAAGAAACGGCAAATTTAAGGTGAACGACTGATATATCAAATAAGACGGCAAGAAATATCCCAGCTAAATATAATGCCTCACTGAAGCCAAATCCAACAGATATCTGACTGAATTCATGCAAAATCACTGAGTCACTGCATGCTGCTCATGTTTTTCCACTCTAGACAGAATCTTTTTTTTTTTTTTTTTTTTTGGCCAAACCATAAAAACATTTTTGCTTGCAGCTTCTCTCTTTTGTGAATGATTGTTTATTTGTGTCGTAGAACGACTGGTTAGACATTCAGGGTTTTGAATGTGTTGGTGAAACATAACATGAGTTCCAAAGACACTATTCTTGTTTCAGAATGACTTGCAGCATCGATGAGGACGGATCAATTATTTATACGTTTACTCAAGCTAATGTGTCCACATCTGCAACGTCCTCTCTGAATCCAAACATTTGTTTTCGGTCTTTTGGTGCTTAATTATGAATTACAGCCCGATTTGTGTCATCAAATGCACATTTGTACAAATAATAGGTAGACAATATATGAAAGACAGAAAGCGAGCCAATTGCTTTCTGGAAAGTAGCTTGACTTGGAAAAAGTAGGAGAAAGAATCTTCATGAACTCGAAAAATACTGGGGAAAAAATCATTATATTTCATCTGGAATTTCTATCGGTGACGTTGTAAACACTGAGATTTCACCACCATGCAATGGTGGTGAAATGCATGTAGAGACCCAGACTGAAAACCTGTAATGAACTGCAAATGATATACTGACTACTTAAATTCTTCAAAAAGAGCATCTTCAAAGAAATAACGTTTCAAGAAGAAACAGTTCAGAGAGCTGCTTATTGAAAAATATTACATTTTCTGTCCTTCAACATCATGGACTCTGTATCCTCTGAGCTGAAGTGAAAAAAAAAAAAAATCACATAACTAGTTCCAAGCACACAGTTCAAAGGTCAAAATATATAATGAGGGTGTGCTGTGGTGGCGCAGGGGTTAAGCACAACCCACATATGGAGGCCTTAGTCCTCAACACAGCTGTTGCAGGTTCAATTCCCAGCCTGGTGACCTTTGCTGCATGTCTTCCCCCTTCTCTCATTACCCTCTTTCCTATGAAATAAAGGCCACTAGTGCCAAAAAAAAAGCTTTAAAAATATATAATGAGATGGACTCAGTAATGCAGTGGGGATGGATAGCTTGTACTTTATGGTTACAGTTAATGTTGGCAATTATCTGAGTTTTGAAAGTGACTTGCTGTGCCTTTCTATGGAATCTGTTTCTTGCCAGCTTTAAACATCAGCAAATTACATTTCTGCCTATTTTTCTTCACAATATCTCCAGATCAGTCAGACTGAATGAGAAGCGAATGTGAACGTCAACTTTCAAATTTTGTTCTGGACTTTGGCGAGGCCTTTCCAAAATGTGACTACAGGTATGCATTTAATGTTACAAATATTAATAGAAATATGATTTCAGCCTGTATGTTTGGGATCACTGTTCTACAAAAACGTTTAATGTGTCAGAGTACAGTGTTAGTTTCCACCCACACATGATGTTTTGAATGTAGGTCAAAAAATTCAAGTTTGGTGTCGGGTAACTAGAGCGCCTTCTTCTTTAAGTTTACGTGCATTTCTATTAACGGTGGATTTCTCTGTACTGCTGATCCCTTAAGGCTGAATTTGTGAAGAACATGATTGATAATTATCTTCCCACCTGAGAGATGGACCTCTGCAGCTCCCCCAGAGTTACAATGGGTATCATGGCTGCTTCTCTGATCAATGCCTGGCCTGTCAGCTTAGGTGGACAACCAAATTTTGGCATGTTTATTACTGTTGTTCCATAATCTTTCTGTTTTCAGATGATGGCTTGAACAGGCCATAGACTGCTTTATGATCACACCCTGCCTTGAACTTCCCCACAACTTCATCACTGACTTGTGTGGTGAATCTTGGACACTCTTTGTTTACCGACGTCTCACGGAAAAGGTGTACTTTCATGTTCTGTAGGTTAAGTGTAGAGATGAGATGAAACATCAGCTCACATCCACATCCACGGGAACAAATGCAACCCCACTAATGGTAGTTTGCGCTTTAATCGTTTGTACCAGTGTTGTCGCAGACTGTGGTGTTTCTTGCCTCCACGGTGGGCACAACATGACTCCATTTTGAATTTCAGACAGGGGTATGACACATGCTGAGTCTGTGCTCTGCCTCAGGATGAGCAGCAGCTGCACAACACAAATTCAGAGCAGGGGTAAAGTGACATGTAGTAGTGACAAACGTAATACAAAGCGGGTTTATTATATTCTATTAAACAAAGGGCGCAGGAGAGGAAACACACGACTAGAACTCGCCAAGTGTTTTCTTCTGATGTGTATCTCGGCACATGCTGACCAGTCTCTACAACCCCTGAGGGACAGAAATATTTCATAAAATAACTAGACTAGCAACTATGTTTAGTTTTTGTTTATATGCTTTAGTTTGAGGTAACGAAGCTTTGCCGCAGATGCTTCTGATCATCTGTAGCGTTATCAATCTTCTGCTGAGGCCGGAGTGTATCCTCGTGTGTGTTCCGCTCTGTGCTGAGAGAAATGAGACACTCCGGCTGCCCTTCAGACTCGCCGCTCTGCTCTTACACTGCCTCTTTTTTCACAGCTTGTCAGAAGACACTGTCTCCTCTTCGAACAGAGGAACAGAAACCTGAATTTTTCTCTTTTTTTTTTCCACTGGCAAACACATTATATGGAAGAGTTAACAAAACAGAAAAAAGAAAACGAAAAAAAAACACCTCCTCACACCACCATTTCACACATTCTCCCCTTCACCTGACAAGTGATGTTCTACAAACACAGAGGACTAACAATAACAAAAGAGGTCACCAGAAAACATTAGACTCCTCCTTTTGTGAGTTATATTATGAGGAGAACAGTTGGCATGTTCATATTTGGGCTCTTAAAAGGCATTCAGATTGTTTTTCTAAGAATGAAATGATGATACAACAAACTTATCATAAATGTATAAACACTAATAATTGGGTTCATAATTACAACTTATTCTAATTTGGCCTAAGCTGAATAGAGGCTCAGCAGACATTTGGTTAGAAATGCCTTTTGCAAGTTGCAGTTGAATCATATCCTTAACCAGCAACAAGCAAGATTAAGGTCTGATATTTGACTGTTCTTCTTGATTGAATAAGTAACGTTCACTTAAATTGGTTGGTTTCAAAACCATTTTTGACGTGAGCTTAATATCACTTAAATCTGAGGTAAAGCTGAATCATTTTGATTTTGTCCTGCTACATTATTAAATCCATTTTGTGCAAATCACCAGCCAGACTACTGTTGATCTAATTCAAAGAAATTCAAATGAGTGCCTGCATCAAATACGATTGTATGTAATATTCCTTACAATTTCTTCAAAAATAATTTTTATGAAATGGAATTGGGTGCTCAGTTTATTTTAATTTATCACTTAGTTAGCATCACGATGCATAAATGTCTAAGAAAAAGAATGTAAAAAAAAAAAATATGAGAAAAGTTTGCTTTAGAAATCTACAAAACAATCCTCCCTCCAGTCAGTTACTATAATCGCAACTCCAAAAATAAACCAAACTAACAACTTGCATTAAAAACACACTCTGAAAACATCCATCGCACCGTCTTAACGGGATTACATTTTCACTTCCTGCTACCAGAAGCCCTTCCTGCTGGTTGATGCTGCTCATCATCCATTAAATGTTAAAGATCACTACAGATCAAGCTGCTGATTACATGAACACAAAACCATCATCAAATCCAGACAACACACTTCCTGTGCATGCAGAGAGGCTGCCTCACCGCTTCAAGAGAGTAAAACGTTCAGGCACAAACGGAGAGAGAAACACAACGTACTGTGTAGTGGTTATTATACATTTATAAGCTCTATAATCCAAACATTAAAAACATATAATCCAACCACATATCAACGTTAAATAATGTATATTTTTCTAAAAACCCTTGTTTTTAGAAAAAAAAAGAAAATCTAACTTTTACGAGAAGGGACTGATTCAAAAACAGAGTTTGTGATCTAAAGACAAAAAACGGGCATTTCTTGCACAATCAGTGTCTTTCTGCAGCCGAAAGATGTTTTCTATTACTTTTTTATTTATTTATTATTTTTTAGTTGCCCATTCATGTTTGGTCAATTTTAAGAGTCACTGTCAAACAGCCTAAAGAGCAAGGGCTGCAAGTTGCAAACAACAATTTTAGCCAGAAAAATATCAACACCTTAGATTTTGATGTGGCGGATGTGGCTTACAGGTCAGGACAGGATAGCCTTAGGAACAGTAGAAGTATGCTACAAAACCTTTCAAAAACATTTTGTTTGTTGCATCGTGAAGTTTTCAATTGCTTGTTTGCTTGTTCAGTAAATGATTCATTGTAATTTTCATGTGTCGCTAACAGTGAGAGTCTACTAGAAAAGATGTCTGGCTTATTCTGGTAGCTGACGATACCAAAGTTTGTATCTGATTCATGTACCACAATTCTTCTAAAATTGAAGGTTCCTCAAACAATTTTTTTTTTTATGTGGACAACACTTCACTTTTTCTGAATAGCATTCTACTTGCCTGAGCAGCTTTATCCTACTCCGAATGAAGATTTCTTTTTTATTTTAATCATATTTCTAAAAACTAAAAACAGAGCATTTTCAAAGTCGTTTTGGCCTACCGACTATTTAAATTATGCCATATGTATTGTACTGATAATGTAGTTTGTGCCACTTTACCTCTTTTAGTAAAACTTTTGTTTTCTCTATAAGATTGCTGCAAATTATGCACATATTGTCTGTCTGTAAATTATTTCATGAAAGTTCTTTTGATAAAACGCATTTAAAAAAAAAGTTAATTGCTAAGACAAGTTTGAAAAGATTCTGTATATGTCAGATGAAAAGGGAAGGTGGGGGGTCGCAGCATGAGGAACTCACAAGAGTACCACTGAAACAAGACTCTCCAACAACCACCGAACAGCAATCACAACAATATTGACAAAGAAAACTGAAAAAAAGAGTATCACCGTCTTCTCTCTGCAGCCTCCTGTAGCCTCCAAAGAGAGAGATCAGCACCAAGGACAGATCCAAAACAAGCTAACTGACATCTGTATACTAACAATAATGATAATTGAACTCAGATCACCCTAAAGCGACTCTATCGTTACCAAAAGTATTTTAGCCCATCAAATTAAGTGTCCATCCTTTTTGCAGAGGGGAACTAGACGGCATCAGGCAGGTCTGGATGTTTGGCGAGACGGGAGCAGCTGCAGGATCTAAAGCAAAAGAATTAGCATGAATTCCTCCTTCTTTGTTAATCTTTCCATCTCTACATCACAACACTATCCTGCCACCATGCTTGGGTGGTTGGTACAGGTGTAATTAACAATTTCAAATATTTTTCATGTAATGAGGGCCAAGTAGCCTGTTGTTTGTTTTCTCCAGCTAAGAGCAGCTTCAGCACCACAGACAGCTCTAAAATAAGCCTACTGACATTTTTTGACTAATTACTAAAGTTGGGGACAAAGAAAACGACTCGACGTTTTTGAGGCAGCTCTGAATCCAATAGGTGAACTGATAGTCAACACTTGTTGCTGTCAGTTAATGACAAAAAGAGGTAAGGATGCTTCATCTGCTGCTGACAAACTTTTTTTTTTTTTTAACTTTATTTGTTAACTACATTTTCACGATTGTACTGGGCATAAAACCTCACCTAGCTGATTACGAAATCACAGTAAACAACAGAAATCAACTAAAAATTTACAAATTGCACATGAAGGTAATCAGTTTTATTTTTTTTAATGATTTTTCTGAATAAAATTTGTTCCGCATAGAATATATTTATACATAATATTCTTAATGTCTATTGCACAAATATTGTATTGTTATCTGCTAAAATATAAACAATATATAGCTTTCTTAGATTACGGCCAACACAGACTCATTTCGAGACCAAAACACTACATACATATTTCAAACTCTCAACAGCATGTTATTCTCCACACTGTTCAGATCGTTGTCACTTATGGTATTAACTTAGAGTATTTTAAATTGCTTTTTTTTTATTATTTCGTGGTGGATTTAGACAAAAATAAAACCAGTTGGAATTCAGAAAATATCCTCCACCACCTATTGTAAATGTTTGTCCTCTCAAACCTTTGACCTGGCAAGAGTTTTTACAAGAGTTTGAACAGGTTAATTTGTTTGATAAATCCTGTAGCCTTGAAGCCACAGTTGCTAAGTCTGTTGGTGTGAACACCTAGTTTCTGTAAACTATGACTACTGTGAAAGTTGTGTCGTGTGTCCGCAGTTTAACAAATACATCCTGTTCCACACATCAGCTAAGCATTCCCTTGCATAGAGGGGGCATTTATGGTTGGGTCAGGACGTGGATGACTTGGAAGAAGATGGGAACTGCTTGGTCTGATTGCTAATTTGATGTTAAATAGAAAAGTGCAGATACCAGATCTTCATGATCCAGTTTACTCCGACTAGCCACCAAAGTTAGTACAATATTCTTAAGCAACACTGGGTTCTCCAAAGAGGTTAAGTTGCTCAAGGGTTAGTTGTTAGTCGTTTCCAACAAAAAGCAGTTTCAGCCAAAATCAAGCAAAATGACATCTGCTGCTTCACCGCTGCCAACGCATAGAAGATCTCACATCAACAAGCGTTGCTGCATGTCTTTTGGCAGGACGAGATGTTTTGGAACCACAGCAGCTGCTTGGTTGGAGGGGGATGTTACAACCCAATGCAGCAGGCAGCACTTTAAACAGCCATCCCTCCCTGAAACGCATCCTCCTCATCATCATCATCACCACCACCACCACGATCATCATCACAGTTTGGGGATGCCAAACACCTAAAGGTGGCTACCGGATACTTCAGTCAGTTGGGAGGCCAGATGCGTTTCAGCCTCAGAGCAGATTTGATGAATGATTAAAGGGACCACATGCACCTAATCCCATGTAGAAAGCGGGACGATCCTCCTCTGTGGCACCGTTGGTTAGTCGGAGGGAAAACAATGACGCTAGAGATGGCTCTTTGCTTTGCTGTGACAACCAATTACATAACGGGAGCTCTGTGGAGTGCTCCCATTAACATCCGCGTCCATTTCCCTCAAGAAAGCCTCAAACACATCACTACATGACCACTAAGCAGCGCATTTACGTCCAATAGCCTCATCTTAAGCCTTTAAACAACACAAAATGTTACGTTTTCAGACTGATCCAAGTTTATATTCGTTATCAGATTTAGTCATTTCACGCATGGAAATAAACCCTTTACTACACCGCCATCGCCTACATATGAAACAGTATTAAATGAAATTTGATGCGCATTTTTTGTGCTCAGAAAGCAGATTTGTTTTATATGCAAGGTCTAATTTGTGCAATCCAGCTATTATTTTAAACAGAAAACAGCGATGCATAATTTCGCGATCTGGTCTGAAAACAGGACATTGGGTAGAGTAAACCCACATCAGACGAGTCAACAAAGCGCACAACATTAATTCAAGGTGAGGCGAGATGGACCGTCTTCCCCCCATGGCGTAAGCAAACAACGGTACATCATGTAACATGACGCATGAATAATTACAAACTGCAAAAGGCAAACAGCATCGCCTCTGAATTCTGCTGTACTCCGTCGGGTTTTGCTGCATTGGAAGCAGCGGGTGAAACGTCCGCCAACGTGATGGAGAGTGATGCAGATTTCTCCATCTCGCCCTTCGCTGAAAGGATGCTCTGCTTCTTATCCCTGCGATGCACGGACGTGGCGGCCAGTAAACACTTACCAGAGATGCTGCTTCTGGTCCTGCCCAGTACTGTCTGCTGCGAACCGGACCGTATTTTCCCCCTTGCAGTACAACAGAAGGTGACCCTGCGTTCTCCCTGCAAGACTCTGCATCCACGAGATCACGATGCACGCAGCAAGGGGGAGCTCCACGGCACAGGCGCGCGCTGGGGGGATGGCCCAGCTTTTACTCTCAATGGACAGCAGAAATAGACTGCAAAGGGGGGAGGAGTGTGTGTGTGTGGGGGGGGTACGAGTGAGTGTGCCAAAATCTAAAATCTCCTCCTAGCATGTAAACATATGGGAAGTAATACAAAACAGAATTATTAATTTTATGATTGTCAATTTTATGATTTTCTTTTTTCTTGCTATTTCTTTATTGTTATCGATGAATACTCTATTACTTAACTGGAACGACACATTGTTACTTATGATATAAAATAATTCGGAAGGAATGGATGAGGAGATGTGACTTGGACTTTCCAGCCAATGGAGTGATCACGTTGAGAGGAGGTGTCCCCCTCCCCTCTGCGGTGTAGGCCACGCCCACATCTCACTATGCCCGAAAGGAGGAGGGAAGGTGGGAAAGGAGTGTTTTTGTTCTGGGGATGGCTACTGACTCATCCGCTCAAGAACAAAAGAACGTTTTGCTCACCTGTTGAGTGTTCAATTTACTCATTTCGAGTGGCTCACAAAAGTGATAGTGCTTCTTGAACCTGATCACTTTTTGCCTTACCATAGTCACAGAAGTCAGTGTGTTTTATTAGGATTTTTCATGATGGATAAACACAGTTTAGCGGAAGACAATAGGGGCGTTCCAAATTATTTGACAAATAAAAAGTTGAATCCGAGTCAATATTTTCCACTGCAAACACAGCTGCAAGGAGTTCCTCTATTATTTTGCCAGCTTGCACATCTACAAACTGAGGCTTTTGTCCATTCTTCTTTTCAGCAGTCAGATTGGAGGGAGCTGCTGTGAAGTGAATGTTAGTCTTCAAGTCATCCAATAAGACCACTTTATCTATTAGATCAGATTTATTTACTTATGTTAGCTTAAGATCATTGTTCTGCTGAAGGGGAGCTGTTGCCCCAGTTTTAAGTCTTTCACGGCATCTAATTTTCAACAATTGTCATGTATTTAGCTTCATCCATTTTTTAGTCTGTCTTGGCCAAATTCTTTGGTTGCAGTGGAGTTGGTGCCTACCTTCAGCCAACATTGAGTGAGAGGCAGGGTACGAACAGGTCGCCAATTCATCACAGGCCAACACAGAGACACAGGAGAAACAATCATGCCCACACTGGTGTAGAAAGGCCAGTTAATCTGATGGTCGTATGTTTGGACTGTAGGAGGAAGCCATGATTCACAAATATTCAGGGAGAACATGCAAACACCATGCAGAACGATCACAGGACCTTCTTGCTGTAAGACGATGGCGCTCCACTGTTCCAAAAAGACCAAATCTGTGGAGTTTGACTATAACAGGTAAACCCCTAACTGGATGTTCTAATCAATTAGTTTTATATATCTACAAAATTTACATTATACAATGTTAGGCATCCTTCACTCCTAGATATACTGATCCTCTTTTACATGTTTCATTGCTATTTCTGAGGTGCAGCTTCCACTGAAACAAGGCATCCTGTCAAAGCCATTCAGCATCAAACAGGATGAAGAGAGGGGGGGAGTTTTCTTCTGCAGATTGGAGGCCATTGCAGACCTTAAACTAGATCAGATGATGTTTTTTTTTCTTATGCAGATTGGCTCAAGTGCAAATAAACTACCACCAGCAAAAAATGTTTATCTTATAGCTTGGGTTATTATCTGAAAAACGAAGTGTACATGGTTTATCACAAATTCACATACAGTAAACACAATCTCAGGTGAATGACAAAATATAAGTAAAATATATATTACATATCTCTATTGTGTGGAAAAACCCACTATTATTAACATATGGATTACATGTCATTCATATGAGAAAACGACACACAAATTAAACTTTTTTTTTAATACTAACATAGTTTAAACATATTTCCTAAAAAATATATTTAATAATTTCCGTAAGCTTAGTGACATCTACTGGCCAATTACAAACAGTGCAGAAAAACAAAAAAACAAAACTCAGAGAGGCTGGAGAACTATCAAGACTTCTTCAAATGATTACAGAAAGTCTTACGTTTTTGTCCTCTTACTCCATCTTTTTCTTAAACTTCTTTATTAGCTATCAGATTCAAATTTGTTTAAATGTAAAAGACAAAAAATTAGTTTTGATAGTAAATACTATGTATCGGACAATACTCTTGTATTTTCTAATGGTTGAACCGGCAAAGAGATCTTTTAACAGTAATGGAAACACAAGCGTGATTTACACAGATTCCTTCTCTCACAAGGTTTTGTTGAAAAAGTGGACAATTAGGACACAGTTGAAGAAATAATGTACTGACACTGTAAAAGACCTCTTTAGCGTCTCAAACATGCATCTGTTTGGTTTAGACTTTTCTAACAAGAGTCATTGCAATGGCACTCAAATGAGGCCTGATACATGGATTTTTTTTTAATTTCTTCTAATATTTTCTCTTTTTCTATTCAACTTATTTTATGATCATTTTTGTACAGCACTTTGGTGCAGTTTTAAACCTGTTTTTAAAGTGCTATATAAATAAATTTGACATTGACAACATAATTTGCTCTCTGTTTTATTTTATTCTTTGAAAGTAGAGCTGCCAAAAGAGCAACCAACAATACAGTTCATTTTGAGATGAAAAGATGTGGCATAATTCTTGTTTCTTTAAGTTTTTATTTTTTAGATTCATTTTGACAACCATCAGATAGTTGTGCCTTCTTAAAGAAACATTCCTGGTATCTCTCTGCATCAGAACTAGCAACTGAAAGCCTGATTAAGGTATTTTATCTATGTGACTTTTCTGGTTAAACCTGTCAACACAACCTTTTTCCCAAGCAAAAAGATTGAGATTAATGTTTTACATAATTCCACTGACCCTTGCGGTTTACTTGTCTGAGGAAGTTAAATATGACTGTAAAAGTGGAAGTTATAAAACTATTTGATCTGAACCAGCACAGTTTGATCATTAAACAATGGAGAGGAGAAGCAGTACTGTGCTCAAGGCTGTTGGTTTGCCCTCTTTGCTCTTATCTTAAATGTATTTATTTCTTTTCAGATTGGTGTGGGGAAAATCATTTTGACAGTCATTGGGGGAAAAAAATCCAGAAAGATCTGGGGAGAAAATCTCTTGGGGTCTGCAAAAGACTTAAGATTGGGGGGAAATCACATTCAACAGCTAAAGCACACAATCAGAGCTAAAACGGAGTTTCAAGTGTGCCAAAAACATTTGTCTATGTTCATACTTGCAGTTGGAGTCTCATAAAATAGTAGGTTTAATAAATTAGACCTAAGTCCGATTGAAAACTTAGATTGACCTGATCCAATCTGACCGTGCTGAAATATTTTGTGGGAAAGAATGGGCAAAGATTTCAGTCTCTAGATGGGGGGTGGATACGAAATTACATATCGGTTATCATATATAATTTCCTTCCACATTAATACTTTGTGTTGGTCCATGATGAAGAATTTAAATAAAAATACATCGAGTTAAAATCCCTTTTATTTTTCGTTGCTTCGTGTGAGATCAGTGCTTTTATTCTGAAGGGTTCAAACCGGAAGCTCTTACAATGTTGTCACTGGCAGTGAAGGGTCGTCTGTAGCTGGGGAACGTCAAGTCTTACAGGAAAGAAGGCTTTTTATTCTTCAGAGTGAGTAAGAATTTAGCTAAAATGAGCAGAACGTGTTAGAGCAGGCCGTGTATTTAGTCTTACTGACCGAGCATGTTATATTTATCGCAGTTTAATCACCTTTTTTGCGCAATGCTGCAGGAAACTCACCATCAAGTTACAGCAGCTAAACAGACATTATTTGTAGCGTTTAAGACACTTTTATCACAGCAGTCAGGTGAGGCGTAAAGGTGACATTTTAGTTATAGTTAAGGAATGCATTGGTTTAGATGGTGCGCCTTTTTTTTAACAAGTGCTAATTGTGGCAAAATCAGTAAAATACGGCTTGCTAACATTGGCCCGTTTACATCTTTAGTCATTTAATCATTAGTTTCAGCAACATGGCTGGTTCTCTTACTCCCAAATCTTCCTCTTTCTATTTATTTTACGCTTTCCTTGCCACACAGACAGCTGTGTACAGACCATTTCCATTTTGTGCTTCCTTAGATCGCTCGCTGATTAGGAAGGGCAGTGATACCATGTGGAAGTCACATGAACGACGAGGATGAGGCATAAACAAGGGGGCAGCCTGACGACAGAGCCGCTGCAACACAGTGTCAGCCAACAGGAGGAGGAGGAGGGGGACTGGTGCCTGTACAAAGATCCCACACACAAGCAGGCCCCCTGTGGCCCTTTTCCCCTTGAACGTTAATTAGGATGAACAGCACTACCACTCAGCCCCCTGCCCACAAAGATGGGACTGTGGCGGTGAGCTATGTGCTGGTGCCATTCCTTCTTATAACTATTGCTGGAATTGCTACAGCTTTGGTAAGTAGCTCATCAGAATCGGTGACATAGAGACTTGGAAAGATGCAGCTCTCATGCACTTTTTTATTTTATTTTGTTTGTTCTAGATTATATGTCTGCGTAGGAAGAGGAGGTGAGAACAAACTTAGGGTATTGATTAGCTGGCACCCCCTCTTACTTCCTCAGTGTGACCCATTGATTTCATGATGCACTTTGCCTTCTGCCCTAGGATCGACAGACTTCGGCATCAGCTGTTACCTGTTTACACGTATGACCCTGCAGAGGAGCTTCATGAAGTTGAACAGGAGCTTTTGTGGAGAGAAGAGGACACAAGGGTAGGAGACGCAAACTCTCAGTGACAGTGTCCTTTGTTAATTAAAGGAAAGGTGATTACAATGATATCCAATGAGGAACATCTTTAGTTGTATTCTTGTAAATCCAGAGTGAAAACATTTCTATCGGTAAAACCACCATTTTTCACTCTGTATTTGCGGAGCCGGTCTTTGACAGTGTAAAAACATACCCACTGTTGTCTTTAGTTGCAACATTGAGCTTTAGACTAATGCAGTTCCTCAAATGGCACGCATCTTCCCCTTTTACAAATTTAAATCTAAATGCAACAAGCAACACAACAATAGCAGGCAGTATTGTTTCATCACAGCTTTTTCTTTCAGGTTCAAACTAAAATCTCTTTATCCCTGCCCACAAGTAACCTTTGACTTGTGTTGGAGTCAATCCAGTTCGTCATCCGTGGACGTGTTGTTTTTACAGCGTCTTAAAAAGAACAGTAAACGACGTATAAAATGTACTGTTAGCAGTTTCCAGTTTGAGGTCAAGTGTAGAAAAACTTTGGATTTCCCGAATTCAAGTTGTGTTTTATTTGTAGGACCATAAATTTGATTCAGAGTATCTTTGTGTAATCTAAATAAGGTCACAGTTGGCCTTGAGTTTAAAGTTTTAGCCTTAAGTATCTAATATTGTTTAGATACTGATTCCAGCGGTTGTACTTCAGTTTATGGAAAATAGTTTTATTTGCACTATTTTGTTTTTAGTTGGTCCTTGAAACATACAGAGAACTAGATAAAAGTTATACTAATTATCAGAATTTAAAGCATTCAGATCTAGGTCTATGCTTAATATTTGGTGCACCAAATGATATAAATGTATGCATTCTTAGGATTTATGTAGCTTCTGGAACTATGTATCTGTCCTATGTGTAAGTGCATGACATCTCCTAAATAATTTTACTTGTACTTCTTTCAACCCTGTATTATGCTTTTAGATTTCATATTTGCTACTCTGTGGTAATCCACTTGTGATGCACAGTCAAGTTGCAACTCTACGTGGATTTAGGAGTTACGCTAAAGCTGATCTATAACAGCCTACAAAATTGAGTTGATTTTCAAAATGTACTTGTTCTAAAAAAATTCCTGAGAAACGCAAAAATGGTAATTGATTTACACAGCGTTACTTTTCCTCATGTAAATTGTACTCATCTCCTAGCCTTATGTCAATAGATTCAGGAAAAAAAATTGTATTGTCATTTTCACTGCTACCATTGCTGCATTGAGTCGAGTCGAACACTAGATGGTGATAGAGAGTTGCTCTTCAAGACATTGCAATATTGCATCGCTTTCAGTTTCTCATGTAAGACATCAAGTGCCCAGACAGAAAACTGTTCAGCATTTACGTCTTTTGTTAAAGATGCAGTTTATTCTCCTAAATTTGTTGATGTCCAGTATGTTTTTAAACAAAAGCTGAAATCTGCAACATGGATCGTTCCCTTTTGGTCAAAAACTTCTTCGTCGAGCTCAGAGGAGATTTGCACATACTCACTGGAAACCTGTGAGTTGGTTAATCTGTTCTGCTGTGTTTCATGTGCACAGATTGTGCAAGGCTGGGCAAGAAGCTATCAGCAGCAGCAACCTCTTCTGTCCAAAGATGCGACTGCTTGACGACAGCTCAGCCTGGCGCAGGATGCTGAGGAGCGAGAAGACAACCTTCAGACTCAAAGATTGGCCCGTCTTTTAACTCATCTGTCACATTTGCTCTGTTTTGCTGCTGTTGCCTTTATCCCAGATTACATCGGGCGATTTAAGAGCCAAAGAGAAGAAGTACTTGTTACTTATTTATTGGAAATTATTTATTCGAATACATTTTTACTTTCGTACTCTGCGGCACCAAAGTCTGGCAAGGCGGAAGACAAAGCCTCTTTTGCATTTGGTGTTTTGTTTACATTCTTAATGCTGTTGTGGGCAGCTTGTGGCAAGCAGCCTTGTTCCTGTGGGTTGCAGTAGGCATCCGTACCGCTCACATAACTTGTTGCCTGCGTTCACTGTGGTAGGGCTGTGAATGTTATGTACTAGTTAAACATCAGCGCTCAGATCTGGCGTGTGCAGAGGTTGTTTGCAGAGCAATAGCGGCTTCTTTGATGAGACGCTTTTACGATTACAAATGCAAAGCCCCATATTGATCAGGTGAAAGTTGATAAAGAAAGCTTGTTTCTCATTTCTGTTTCATTTCTTAAAAAAAAAAAAAAAAAAGAGCTTAAAATATCCTCCTTTCGTTTTCTTGCTTTGAACTGCTGCCTTGGAAAGCTTTATTTTATTTTGTCCTGCTTTGCCAAATCCTGTGACTCTTAACAATGGCATGAGATGCAAAAAATCAGGAGCAAATAACACCAGCTTCCTCCCAGCTCTTAAATGAGTTGTGACTGGATCTGAAAATATGTCCTGTCTTCGAGGCATGGCACCAGAGAATTTACGTCTGGCTGAAAGATCTGCTCAGATGAATTCCATACGTCTGACTGTTTCCAGCACTCAGGAAACCTTTTACACATTATAAACTTTTGCCTTTCATTTGTTGAATGTAAACTAAACTGTGGGTCTGTCTGTGTTTATGGAAGGTTTCGCAGTTCTGGAATCTGGAGCCTTTACATTTTTCATGCTTGTCAGGTTTCTCTTTTTAATCATATAGAAACCTTAAATGCACCACTCAAAGTCCTTCATATATCTTACCTGGAATGACTTTCATCTAAGAATCCAACTTTAGGTGACACTTTTTGTCTATGTACTATTGCTGTGATGCTTTTCTTCTCCTTGAATGCAGTTCTGGACAATTGTTGAAAATGTCAGTAATTGTAATAAAGTGAAACTGATATTACAGGTTAGTGTATTTTAAGCTTTTTATTTTTACAACTGTGGAAAAAACCCCATTTTAGTGGCTCATAAAATATTACATGGGTGTATGTCAAGCAATCAGATTAGATCATTATGAAGCAGATTGTTCACATTTGTTCAGGTGGATGAGGTATGCAACTCATGTTGCAGGGATAAAACGATTACTGAGTTTAATGACCATGGTAATGGTGAAACTTACTGAAAATCAGTGCTACAGCCAGATGCAGTTACAGTACCTTTCAAACTAGTCTGTTGCAGTTCCTAGCACAAGTCAGTAAACAGAAGACAAGGGTTAGACCTCTAGACTAACTCCAAAAGGTTTTGTTTTTGAAGGAGACTGTTAAACAGGCTGAGTGCACAGTAATCAAAACAAGATGGAAAGTTAAGTGGAAGGAAAAACTGGAGTTTTCCTTATGTGCAAACCATATTCCTAAAAGTAAACAAAGCTACCTGTACCACCAAGTAAGGAATCTGCATAATTCCACATTCTAAATAATTTGGTATGGTTTAAAATCATTGGGATCCACCTTTTGCTTTTAAAAAATATTGTAATACAACTTATTTCTTTTGAACAAGAGTTCAAATTGGGGGGCAAGAGTACAATAAGCATGACAAAAATGACAAAGAAAGTTCTCTTTATTGTCCATTTCTGATACAAATTGTAGGGCACCATAGAAATATAGACATTGTACATTTATATAGGTGTACATTAAAAAGCATGATCCCATCCTATTGAGTTTACAGTATATAAATCAACAAATGCATGATTTAAAGAGAAATGTCTAGATACAGTTGTGTAGTTGGAAGGGGACAAAGACAAGAGACCGTACGACTTGAATGAAAACGATAAGAGCAGCTCTGTGCGTTAATGCAGAACGCACGGCGCCTGACTGAACAGTGAAGAGTGCCTAGTCTACACAAACTCGCATTTGTCCATGAAAATCCAACATTTCAGTGCAGAAGAAAAAATAAAAAAATAAAATAAAAACACACCTGCTAGTCTACCACAGTCAGCGAACACAATTGTTGAGCTGACAGGTCTCCCTGACTTGCCTCACACATTTAAAAACCTGTCTGCAAAGTCTGGCACACAATTACATTTTACACCTAGTCAACATGATCAAAAAGATGAAAAAAAAAAAGAAAAACTGTACTCTTGTCAGAAGTTACATTAAAAATAGAAAAACCAGTTGAATGCAATCATAAGGTGAAGTAAGCTGTTAAAATTGAGGTATGAGAATCCAGGCTTTGTTTTGCCTTTTTGCAGTTTTCCGGGGTTTTGTAACTGAGGTTGTAGCAGCTTAAGTGTGTGGGGGGGGAAAAAAAACCCAGTTAAGTGTACTATGGATACAGGTTCCCTGACAACGGCGGGGGGGGGAGAAAAAAAAATGTAGTTGACACAACACACTTCTTCAGAAGATTAAGGAAAGTAGGGTTACCGTTACGTTACTAAGTGAGGAAGAAGCTAGATTAAGCAGTGATGGCTAAATGGAATGAGAAATAAAAAATGTACAGCCCTGTTGGATAGTAGTGCCACCAACTATCCACTATTACAATCATACTCCTTGTTTGACCAATTGCAAGTGACTGAGTGAGCGCATGAGGGAGAAGGAGAAAGGGGGCGGGGGGGGAAAAGTAACCGCATTTGTAAAAGCTCCCTGAAGAAACGACAGATTACTTTTCAGCCTAAAACTCTTTCTAAAAATATACCAAAAAGAATCGTTATAAAACACAAAAAGCAGCACACTCATGGTTTCTCTTAAATGGTATATAACCCAGAGGAACAAACTGCAAGTCTGATCAGAGTATTTCGATGAAAACAAAAAAACAAAACCATCAAACTTACTTTACATCTCCCCACTACATGCAAAAAGGACTGAGAATGTTTTAAGCGCCTCTAAAATCTACACTGCTCTACAGGAAAAAGCGGTCAGGTGGAAGATGCCCAGATCTGTCCAGAGTTTGGAAAAAAAATTAAAAAATAATGGATGAACTCGACACGAAACGGACACCTCTACCATCAGTAACCTATGCTCATCCTAAATGCTGAAGCTCGTCTCCGTCTAGAATACAATGCAAAGGATAGGTTAACCACTTCACTCACATGTAACAAAACTAAACAGCAAATGGGTAAAAATTTACCTTTGTCCAATACAAAAACAAGAAAGTCTATATGTTCTACTATCGCAGATGCAATAAATGACACTAAGCAGAGGAAACATGTCCCAACGGTCTTTAGGGGAGACTAACAAACAACCCAGGCTCTTCAGAGCACACCTTGTCCAGTATAAAAGACTTGTGATAACATGACATGTAGAAGGGCTGTTACCTGTCATGTAATGCTTAGATCTATGCTTGATCAAGTCCATTTTGTTTAAATCCAGTGCTGCTGCATGATAAATGTACTGTGTTAACCCCGCCCTTTGACAAAGGGGAGGGCTTTGTCGTGAACAGTGGTCAAGTGGTGGCACTGGTGTTGATACAGCCCAGTTTCTGGATAACAGTAAGTCAGTATGTAGAGTGAGGTAGCATGTATTGAATTACTGGTCATCTTCCTCCTCCTCTTCCTCAGATGATTCTTGGGATGCTTTTTCCTCCTCCTTCTGTGACAGAAAAAGTAAAGTCAGACTTTCTGCATGCGCCCACAACATACAGAGACAAAAGAAAATGCCTCTGACGCGGCGTAAACAATCGTTGCCTGTGATTCATGCCTCAGTGTGACTGTTTTTGTCAAGCGCCAACTTGGTTAAAAGAAATTAAATAAGTGTTATTTGACAAACCACTATGGCATGAAAAAGCACCCAGGGGAAGGGTGAAGCATCTGTAGTGAAAAGTGATTCATCACCGGTGAGTCACAATGAACCATCCTGTTTTTTTTTTTCTTCCACTCATTTACTCCAAGTTATTCATTCATAAAAAAAAGGAACAAAAAAAACATGGGTGGGCCATGTTAAGGAGGGGACTTTTGGGTCACTCCTCACTATGACTAATGCCATCCAGATACCTTCTGGAGTTCATCCAAACAAGTGGTGCACATCACAATGTTACTACGAAACCTCAAATTCTTGCCTAAGGCCACAGATACTGTGAATAAAATCCCTACATGTTGGCATAATCAGGTCGAGACTTGCAATAAAGAAACGGCCGGTCTGCATGAATGAAACCCCAATTCACTTGGCTTTTTAAAAAGGAATGTCACCCACCAGACAGTCATACCAATCACTCGCCTGGGACTGAAATGGTTTAGGGCAGCGCTTGTGTTAATGTTAATTCTAGCTGGTCAATTTTAACTGCTGCCAATTTGTACCTACTGTCTTATACATGTAAAACATTTCATACCCATATGTTTGTTCTTGATTGTAGTTACATTTTGTGCCAAAAATACTTAAGTTTAAATCTGTTTAGTCCAATCTTAAAGGGGCAGTATTATCACAATAACCGTTACCTTCAGTCGTTATAAAAATGCTGTTCATAGCATATATAACTTGAAGAAATTTGACCTGTCTCTTTAAGAAACTTCTGCTCTTTCCAACAATCTGTCTTCAGGAACTCATCACAACAGCGCTGCTCTATCAACCTTTTAACAAAGTGTTTAACCAGTGTTGCACTGGGAAGTAGCTCCTATAATGAGCTCAGCAGATGCACAGTTCCACCAGGTGATTGCCAATTGCTGCTGGCTAGTTTGAAGGAGTTGAGTAGGAGAGTCACGAGGGGAAGAGTGCTCCGACAGAAGTTCGGAAACTGCAGCTCTGAGGAGGAGCTGTGCCATCGAAGGAGGTGGTTGGTTGCAACGGGAGATTAAAGACTTTCTTAAACTTGTACGAAAGAATCAAGGCAGCACTCCATGTATGTTTTTGATGAGAGACTAACATAATATTGTATAAAGCTAAAAGAAAGTTGATTTTGCATAAGTCTGCCTCTTTAAAAAAAATTTTACTTTGAAACGTGCGTTACTTGCTAGTGTCATTCATTTTGCTTTGGATCCCTGTTCTGGGCAACTGACTAGCAATAACAGATCTGAACCCTTGAGCAAACCAACATATTTAATCGGGAAGATACTCATTAGAGTCATAAACTCAGAGTTGAGCAGCAAACTTGCCTCCTTCTTGGGTCGTCCCCTGCGTTTTCCTCCTGCAGGTGAGGCTCCCGCACCTTTCTGTGAAAGAAAACCGCACAAGGCCACCAAGGCTGTTAGAAGGTTCTCACCATCAAGTTGTAGAGTTACAGGCTTGAGCACAAAACAAATTTGCTATAGCACATCGCCTCTAGGTGGCAGTGGAAGCACTACAACTGGACAGATAGAAAGGGGGCATCGGGTTCATTGGCTATTATCTGGAAGGCCGACGGGAACTGCACACAGGGCACTCCAGTTCGCTGGCCACCTGGTCCAAGGCGCAGAGACAGCTGGTGAAACCGAGCAGAGACACAAACCCTCCGTTGCTCCTAAACCTATATCAGTGCACACGCATGTGTGCGTCTCCTGAACTCCCTCCATTCCTCGCTTTCCCATAGATAGCAGCAAGCGAGAGCACACAGGGGAGCTGGAAGAGTTGGGGCGAAGGAAGAGGGGAAAAAAAAAATATGTTGTTGCTATGGAGACGACAGGCAGTGAAGAACTAGGGCTGTGTGCCTGCTGGAGGCAGAGGGGGCGCTCAGTGTCAGCCTGGAAACAGTCTTGCGGCCGCTGCACCTGCACCGCACAGTGCATGTGACAAGCTGCAGGAAGCTGGAGGACAGGATGCACCGAGTGAGCATCATCACCCCCGCCCTCTCCTCCGCCATCTTCCACGCAGCTATAGCCCCCCCCACCCCACCTCCTACCAACCCAAGGGTAAAGCAGCAAATCAAGATTCTTTACAGAGGGAAGCAGTCGCCAAGCTATTTCTGACACCATTAGGTGGTAGCCAAAAAACATATATATATCAAAATCAACAGCCTGACATCCTTTAGACGGATGAGGTTAGCTGCTGCTACAAGCACTCCTTAACCAAAAGGGATCTGGAGTTTCAAACAGGAAGGGCTTATTCTAGAAAAAAGAAATAGATACATCAACTGCCATCTGCGACATCTTTCTGTATACTTTCAGTTGCAGCTGAAACTCCCAGTCTGAGGAGACTTACTTTGCCCTTGCCACCAGTCGTCTTATTTTTGCTCCCCTTTGGTCGCCCTCGGGGCCTCTTTGGAGTTGGGGACCCACTTGCCTCCTGAAAGCAAACAGGTTGAAATTAACAAACAAGAACACACATGAAAACGTAAGAACGTTCACAGTCTTCTCATTTGACGACAAAAAGTTCCTTGCCACAAAGGAGCTCAAACAAAGTCAAACACTTCAATGCACTTCATAGAATTGAAACAAAAACTACTTCACACTCTGATAGGCATTTAGGGAAATACCATCACCTTGTACAGCTAGGTGAATTCGGCGTGGCATGACTCATCCTTTCATGCGTACCTTGTGGTTAGAAGCCGTGTCATAGCCGACTTGTCTACTGTTGCATTTCTGGAGTGTTTATCACCACAGCTCTTAGCAACAGAGGAACTCAATAGTAAAACACAGCAGGCTGAGGGACATCTATATGATCCACTCTGCGCTTCGCCTCTGCTATGTCATGCATCACAGTGAGGGAGCTGGGGTGGGCCTGGAGTGTGGAGTAGTGGGGAGGGGGGGTTAAAACCAGTTTAAAGGTGTTGGGTTACTGGTTGCTTGCAAACCAGGGAGGAAGTTTATTGTAAACCTCTCCACTGATAAGCAACTGAACAAATGGTCACAAGGCCGTCCTGGAGCTGGCTCATCTAGATTCATTTCAGTCTTCACCTCAGGAGGACACGACATGTATGAGCCTTTTACCTGCAAAAGTATCTGCAGGAGCATCAGATGCAACAGATGGCAACTGAGGGGGTTATTTTGGTTATCTGCAAATAAGACATGGAAATCTATTTGGAGGTCTTATTACATAAGCCTTGTTCTGGTGCGAATGAGGTTAGTAGTAGTAGGACATGCAAACGAGGCAGAGCAGGTAGGAGTAAAGGGACAATACTTACATCTGAGGATTTTACCTGCGGCTGCTTACGGGGTCTTCCACGCCCTCTCTTCTCTGCCCCCTCCTTGTCTTTCGTTGAGACTGTCCCCTTGTCGCTCATGTTTGCTTAGCTTTTTAACCTATGCAATAAAAAATATATCACACTGGTTGGCCTTGGTGTGAGACGAGGCGTCGAGTATGCACACAAAACATGTAGAAATGAGGAGTAGTCGAGCCACTAAACTCACTGACCGCAACAACAAACCCAAATGACCGACCTAACCGCGCACTGTTTAACTCAATTAATCCGCGCTTATTTCCAGCTCTATTTTTGTCTCATCGGCGCGCTGCTACACAAGAGGTTTACGGCAAAAACAGATTGCACGATACTGAAAGGACACAACCTGCAAATGACTATTGCATACCCCTGTACTAAACCATGCTTAGAGGCCTCGTTATTCCCCCCCTCTTTGCTGTAGCTGCCGTACCCCCACGATCAGGCCTGTGCACACAGAACTATCTCACAGCAGGTCTGCACGCCGTGGCCGCGGAGAGATCCGCCAACACACACAATGGCTGCTGTGTGCTAGTTTGCATTTGCAAGCTAGGAGCCCCGGCTGAATACTCGCTCGGATTTTTCTAAAATGGCACTGAGGATTCAAGCGGAGGAAGCGGCCGCTCAGCGGCTAAAACCCCGAGCCGAAGCAACAAAAGGCGGCTTCACGTTGAGCGCGTGCAGCCTTCTCCCGCCGGAGCTAGGGGCTCTTTGTAAAAATAATAATAATAAAACGCTGCATTGAATAATTTCTAGCTTAGCACATCTCCTTTTATGCACCCACCTCTATTTCCACGAATTTATCGCCTCCGTCTTAAAATTAAAGCCGAATTGTTTTCCTTTAAGAACTAGCTGGTTTGTATGCGGCTAACCGGTTAAATAGCCGATCATAGGCTACAGCTTTTATTCGTCAGATAACACACAGCCCGCCCATTTAAACCCCAGCTCATGCAGCTTTAAAACAGCAATGACTTAAAATAAAATAGTTGCTTTTTTTTAACTATATTTTTTGTAAATAAAAAAATATATATATTATATATTTTTACCAGCAGGACGAGGAGTTTAATCCAACGGCATTCAATACAACGCACGTGCGGCTTCTCTCTTGCAGATAAAGGAAAAAAGGCGCCGGACAGGAGGAGTTTTTGGACAATTTAAAGAGCCGCCCTCAGGGGGAGCTGGAATACTGGAGGGCGGAGATATGATAAATGGGCCACCAACAGTACGACGAAACCCAACCCCCTCCCACTTTACTGCTCATTGATTCTTTACATTTTCCAGGTTTAATCACATAACAACAAACAGATGTGCAAGAAGTTGTAGACTGAAAAAAGGAAATGAAACAGAAACAGAACGGTTATGTTTTATTATTTCCGGAGTAAATGCTATTTAAAATTGCATGCATTTGCCTAAAATTACATTCCACAGTCTCCAACCATGAACTATGACCTCCCCCAATGTAAACAGGAGCTGACTCAGAGAGAGTGGTCTGCGTCTCTGCTCAGGTGAGAAAAAAAAAAGAAGAAAGAAAAGATGCTGCACAAAATGTGATAGATCAATTTCCTCCCTTTGCTAATTCCCATATAATTTCATACCCATTGCCATTTTGCCCCTTCTTAATAATCTGTTGTATCTTTAAGGAAACTATCTCATGCCTTGCTGATTACAACATTGCCTCAGACTCGTCTCTGCACTTTACCAGGTTGTATCCCCATTTCTTTCCCATGTACTCCCGTTTCATCTTTTCTAACACCGCTTCAAATCTTAAACAAACTATTTCATTCCCTCACCTCTTAAGTTTCTTCTCGACCTTTTTACACATACTTTTCACAGACTGGACCAGTGTCCAGTTGTTTATTTGCTCATGACTAGTAGTTTGAGCATCTTTATGATAATGTAATGTAAGCCTATCCAGAATATCCTTCATCATCCTTTTTTCATTTCTGTCACTGAAACACTGGTTTCCTGCTTTTTGATTACATTTTTGGTCCAACACTATCATGTTTAATTTGCGTGTAAATGAATAGGATTTTTCAAGTAAAGTTGATAGGCTTCTTAATTTTTTTAAAGTACCATATATATCTACTTGAAATTATATATTTGATATAAATTATTCAGTTTGATTTTGTTGGGAAGAGTGATTTGTAACAGCTGCAGGAAGGAAGGATCTTTGTTAAAGCTCCTTTGTGGACCAAGGATGCAGCAGTCCATCACTGAAGGAGCTTTCCAGTTCAGCACCAGCTTCATGTGTGGAGTAAAAGACATTATTCAACATGTTGTTTTAGCAAGAATGTTTCTGTCTCCTGCACTGGGTTGAGTGGGTTAGAGCATAGCTAGCCGTTGTGCTGAGCTTATCTACCTGCTTCCTCTCAGCAGTTGACAAATTGCTAATCCAACATACAATATCTAGGGATGGCCAATGCCAGCGCAGAGTCAAAAAAGTCTCCAGGAGTGACCTTTGCTCACAAAAGGTCCTCAGTGTCCCCAGCAGGTAGAGTCAGCTCTGTGATAAGCTGGACTGGTGTTGTGATTAAAGGTCAGATTATTTTTTAAGTGCCCAGATACTCGGCACTCAACAAATTGTAAGTTCTATCTCTTATAATATGTATTATAAGGGCAATAAGATGTCACATCTTAGTTTACAAATCCTAATGCACTTATTTATGAATTGCATTTAATAAAGTTAATAAAACAGATCAAACCTAGACATAAAACAGAATGAGAAACAATAAAAGTAGAACTAAAACATACTAAATGGACTGCAATTTCGCATCATGTGAAGCAGAGTCCTCTTCATGCTTTTGGAGCGATTGCCAGTCCGCTTGCATCCACACATGCTTCAGAGAGTTCCCTTTAATCGAACCGAGACCTAAGTTTTAGTCTGCATCAGAGTTTGATTGAGCGTTCACACCTCCCCAAACAAATCAAACTTTTCAGGGAAATGAGCTGGAGTTTCATTAAAACGGTCAAAACATGCCTGGTGTGAATGCACCCTCCGAGTAGTGGAACCACCTTCTGATCAACGTCTGGAAAGCCAAGGAGCCGATGGTGGATTTTTGCCACATCAGACTCACCCCCACTGACACCGGTGAATGTCCAGGGAGCTGACATTAAGACTGTGGACTCTCAGAAGAAGAGTTGAACATCAAGTCCCGAGAACTGGAGCTGGACTGGCATTTCAGTTCTCCCAGAATAATTGAAATCAAGGTTATTATCTCAAAATTATTTACTAATTACTTTGAGACTTTTTCTGAAAAAAGCTAAAACATTTTGTCCAATTAAGTTCCTGGTATGTATTTTGGAGAAAAATACACATTGGAAACTGTGGCCACAGATGAGCTCCATCTTACTGCCTGAACATGTAACCGTCCTCCACACTGATTCATCAGGCTGGTGAAAAATGAAGGAGTTAGCAAAGCCATGCATGCACATACCTGCAACTAATGCTCCCCCATAAAGAGTGTTTTCAGCCGCAGGACTCCAGGTAAATATTCAATATTCACTGAATGTCTTGATCCAGGCGATTGGCACTGAGACCTGTCTGTGGGAGTTGGCACGTTCTTTGCATTCCTGTGTAGCCTTTTTTTATCAAGATACTCAAATTTTCCCCAGTAATTGATGTAAAATAATTGAGCTTAGAAGTGCATGTGACTACATAAGGTTCTCTGTAATATATGTTAGTATGTTGAGCCAATGATGGATTATTGTCAGATTAATAAACTGCATCCTCAGCGTCCATGTTGATACATAAATTATTTCACATTTTTTCCTGATGCATGATTTTTCCCTCATGCAAATATATCTAACTTGTTTTGGATGGGTATCTTGCAGCAATAAATATCAGACCCTGACTTATAGGGATTAAAAAATTTGGTAATAAACAAGAGGTCTGTTAAACTCAGTAAGTTAAAGGGGCAGTATTATGAGTTTTCCAGCCACATAGTATCATTTTATTGCATAATCAAGTAACTATGTTACCTTCAGTTGTTGTAAAAATGGTGGATATGAAACCTGAGTTCATAGAAAATTGACTTCGGAATTTGAAACCTTGAAATTGGGCCTCTGTCTAAGAATTTCGTGCTCTTTCTGGTGGCATGCTCTTTTTTGCATGTCATCACAGCAATGCTCCTCATTATGTCGTGAACAACCCTTCTTGGACTGAGAAGTAGTTAATATGATAAGCCCAGCACTATGTGGGAACAAATGATTCAATACTATACATGTCAAATATTTCTTAAAATATATTTGATTTTTCAATGTAGCACCTTGAAATTTGGTCTCTGTTTCTTTAAGAAACTTCTGTTCTTTTCAACACGCTGCCTTCATGAAGTCATCACAACATTTCTCTTCTATTATGAGAAGTAGCATTGCACTCAGAAGTAGCTCCCATATTGAGCTAATTGCTGTTGGCTAGTCTGAAGGAGCTGAGCGAGAGGGTCGTGGGGGATGGGTGCTCGGTGATAGGGAAGCTTGAAAACCGCAGTTTCAAGGAGGAGCCTGATCATCAAAGGTGGCGCTAGGCCTCCCCCAAGCGTTTTTGCATGAAGCTGAATGGCTGCCACGGCCGGGAGATTAAGGGATTTTTCAATCATGCATGAAAGAATCAAAGCAACACTCCCAGTGTTTTTGACGAGGGAGTAACATAAGAGTTGATTTAACCTGATACTGATCCTTTAAGTAACACACACAGTGCGATCTTATTTGTCATATTTTTTCCTGTTATCTGCCCGTGCTTGCATAGAACAAATCCTGAAGCCGTGCGTCTTTCACATGTGACGTTTCACACCTCCATGGGGGGTCTTCCCGAAAAGCTCCACTCTGAGAGCTTATTTCAAAAATCAGCTCTTTAAATGGAGCCTTAAAATCAATCCATGATTAACCTATTAGAAACTTACATAGGTATGACATCATCATCTTGACTTTTGCATATTGTTGAGAAAGTCAAGAATATGTGAAAGTTTGTTGACTTTTACTGCACGTAAAACTTCTGATTTACGTGCAGTAAATCAGAAGTTTACTGCACGTAAACTTCTGATTCTGGAAAATGCAATCCAAAATTGCAAAATGAAAAACTATCTTGACAAATATGATGTCAGGCAATAAGAAATATGTGTTCTCCTAAGTCAAGGCACGTATATAGCCAATCTCCAGTTCTTCAGTAGAATGCATGTTTGAACAGCAACTGTAATAAAAGTCACATGAGACAATAAGTTAAGACTTAATATGTTGAAAGCAATCTTTATCCTTTAAGACTGAGGAAGCAACACTCTCAGTGTTTTTACTGCCTTTTCTTTTTGGTTTATTGCACAAATATGCCTTCTTATCCATGCATCTATTTTTCATGTTGTACTTATGAGCTGACAAGATCATAAAGACATTTTTGTCTGCTACTTAGTTATTATTATTATTTCAGATGGTGAAATCTTCTACATTTCTCGAGTGCCACTGTGACACTTTTTGCAATTGAATTGCATCGCGTGTCTGCATATGAAACAAGGTAAGCTGACATTCCAAAGGGTTTCACACAAGAGCAAGGGGTTCTTATGCAAATAAACAGCCCATCGGAAGCTGCAGAGGTCTTTGCAATGTGGTTGTAAACAGCCCTCAAGAATGCAGAGCAACTCTTAAGGTGGCTGGGACAGGTTGTGTGCGTTTGCCTTTGTGTACTGCACCTCGTTTGTTTGTTTCGCCAGGGCAGACCTCAAATAACTTTGTGCAGACCAACATATTAAATGCGCTGTGTTCACCCTGTCTTTGTTGTTCACATAAAGTACAATCATGTCAGTACACTGTACATACATGATGAAAGAAGCGGGAGTTTTGTGAAAAGGAAACTGGATAGGCTATGAATGGAGAGGGTGCTTTTCTCAATGAATCCAATGTTCTGCTCAGCATGTGCTTGCCTTGCATAC